TTCCGAGAATGACGTCCCTCGAACAGTCTTGCAGAACGACGAACTTCACAGGGCATGTTTCGCCGTGAATCTCGACGCGAGCGGTGCATCTCCCGACTGGTGTAATGAGGTGTCCTCCGGCGGTTCTTATTTGTGGTCCATCCCACGGCGTCATGACTTTTCGAAGGCGGCGGGAGAGCCTCCCACTCAAGACTGAGTAGTCTGCTCCGGTGTCCACGAGTGCGGATGCGTCGTGGCCGTCGATGACGACGTTTAGGGTATTGGACACCACTGCAGCGGCGTCGTTTTGGTCTCTGGTGGCGTTCGAGTGGGGGCCCCCCGACGTTCGTGGAGGATCTTGGCGTCGGTCGTCTTCGGCAACTCCACCTCCAGGGGTTGCCGCGCCTAGTTTCCCCGGCGAGGAGCGAGGGGGGACAGGCTTTCACGTCGCGGTCGGTGCATCGGTGAAGCTGGACGTCGCGGTGACGGCGACCGGAACTCTCGGCGGGACCCAGGCTCGGGGGACTGAGGTCGTCGCAGGTACTCGTCGATCTCGATAGGGCGTTCACCATGATGGGGGCGCGGGTCGTTCGGGTGGAACCCGCGTAGCCCGAGTCGTCGGTATGGGCATGGCGGTAGGTGTGGTCCGCTTCCCCGCAATGGAAGCACAGAGGGCGTCGGTCGGGCGTTCGCCACAGGTCGGTCTTGCGGGGTGCGCGAGGCTCAGGGCAGGTGTACTGGACCTGGTCGTCGTGGCGTCGGTCGTGCTGCGGCGCAGGAGACTGACGTCGGGGCGGCGTGACATAGGTGCGGCGAGGAGGCGGTGGCCGTCGGGCCACTGCGGCGTAGGCCAGGGCGGGCTCTTCGGGTGGTGCTACGCAGGCAGGAGCCTCCGGTTGAATTGCCCGCTGGACTTCTTCGCGCACCACTTCGGCGATCGACAGCTCAGCCGGCTGGTTGGCAGCAGGCAGCAGCTTGCGGAGCTCCTCCCTGACGATGTCGCGGACGATTTCCCGAAGGCCGTCGACACCGGTGGCGTTCAGGTCTAGTCGGCAAGATGCGGCGGTTCGAGGAGCAGGCACGCCGGCGAGTCGATGGTAATGGCTTGCTCGGGCCGACAGCGCTCGCTCGATGTTAGTGGCTTCAGCCACAAAACCGTCGACGGTTGTCGGGGGATGGCGGACAAGGCCCCCAAAAATTTCAGCCTTCACGCCACGCATGAGGACGCGGAGCTTCTTCTCATCGGCTGCCTCCGGATCGGCTCGGGCACATAGGCGCATGACATCCTCTACGAAGCTGGTCACGCTTTCGTTGGGGCCCTGCACCCTTGTTTGGAGAAGGTCCTCCGCTCGCTGCCGACGGTGGTGGTTGAGGAACGTTCGCTTCAACTCCGCGGCGCAGGACTCCCACGTAGTGAAGGACGCTTCGTGGTTTTCAAACCAATGCCTCGCAGTTCCTTCAAGCGCGAAGTAGAGATTGTGAAGGTATTGTTCAGTCGTCTATCCGTTGTGGCGGGCTACACGTTCGTAGTGTTGCAGACAGTCTTCAACGTCCTCGTGGACGTCTCCGTGGAAAGGCGTTGGAGTCCTGGGTGCGATCGGCAGGTACACAACGGCAGAAGCGGCCGGGGTCTGCGCCTGGTTGGCCATCGTCGTCTTCGGCTTGGTCGTGGGTGGCAGAAGTCCGTGTTCCGGGGGTAGACCTCGGATGCGGCGACTTGACCGGGTCTCGATCTGGTCTTCGTCGGGTCCTCCGGAGCTGGGGTTTGGACTTGTACTGCGGGAACTCGGAGGGCTGCGCTGCACGAACATGCGGTACCCCGCACCTCCACCAGAATGTCACGGGTGGTGAGTCGTGACCAATAAACAAGAAATAAACAGAAACAAATAAACGTTTCATGTGGCGAACTTGTGCCAAAAATAAAGAAGGAAACAGAAGAAAGCAGAACGTCGCGGGCGTCGAAGTCGGCGTGTCAGCAGAATCGAGCGCTGGGGCGAGACTGACTCGACAAGGTCGCGGGCGGCCTCTTATCTAGAGTGCGTCGCTATCTCGAAGATTCGGCGAAAGCGGCTCGAGCGTCGCGTGATCGGGCGAGAGTGAACACGCACTTTCTAGAAAACAAAAGCAGGAACAAATGATAGAAGTTACATGCGGTACATGAATAAACGAGAACTTTCTGGAGGTCCGTGACCGAGCGTTGCTTTCTGAGCCCTGGGCGCGGCAATATAACATTTTCCACATGATAGGGGAATATGGTAAACGACCCCGGTCTCGCATGGGGCATACTGTGTCTTGTGCGAAACATTGCAGATTTGTTTTTTCTGGTTGGTCCATACACTGTACCGCTGAAACAATGAGCAGTTCCTCATCGACAATCGTGTCTACTAACGACGAGTTGCACTCCGACGACGGTGACTACGAGGTTGTTCATGGCAAGAAAAGACGAAAGACAAGCCAGAGCTCAGCATCGCATTCTAAAGAGAAAACCAATCTACAAGTCGGATTCACCGTACTGTACATGTCAACTGACACCAGCAAGGTTGCATCGCTCAGCAAATTTAAACTGAGTGAGTACCTGAACAACGTCGCACCAGACATGGTGAGTGTAGTTCGTATCAACAAAGCTCGTAATATCGTTGCGGTTGACGTTAAAAAGCCTGCCCTCAAAGCCGAACTCCTGAAGCTAACCAAGCTATGCGCACTGCCGGTGCGTGCTTTTCTACCTAGTGACCGCACAAATTGCTGTGGCGTCCTTCGAGACATCGACCCTGACTGCACAGAGACCGACATAAAAACGCGACTACAGTCAACCGCCTGCATAACGGAAGTGAAGCGCCTTGGAAAGACATCACCCGTTGTGCGAGTGTCGTTCGCAACAAAAGTAGCTCCTCAACATGTCAATGTCGGTCTTGTAAGAACGGAAGTAATTCCCTACCGAGCACGCCCCTTGCAGTGCTACAGGTGTCACAAATTCGGCCACATCGCAGCTGCCTGCGCAGAAGAAACCCAGTTATGTTCTCGGTGTGGACAAGGCCACAAATACAAGTGCGAAGCCAACCCCTGCTGCGTCAACTGTCACGGAAATCACGCCTCCAACGCACCTGAGTGCCCAGTGAGGGCAAGGGAGGCAGAAGTAGCGAGGTACAAGTTAGAGCACAACCCCACATTTCGTGAGGCAAAAAGTGCTGTTCATGCAAAAAGACAGGCAAACAAAACAACGGATTCAAACAACATACAAGAAACTAGCGCCTCCGCCAACAATACTCTGCCTCTGACTGCTCAAGACTTCCCCCCTCTCGAAGACGTAGAGAGCACGCCTGCAAATCTGGTCACCGCTAAATGTACCGCAACAACTACAGTGCCAGTTTTTAGGAAACCTTCGTTTTGGGACAAACCACACATCAAAAACATCACTTCACATAAGACCTCCAACGTGCAGATAACCGGACCCAACCAAGAAAGTGGAACAAAGACTGACTCTGTTTAAATCCATAATCCCACTTATGTTCACTGCTCTTCACAAGATATTGGCCACAACGTCACAGACATCAACACTTCATCAAGTGATCAAAGCCGTCCTCACATTAGAACCCATTATTGCAATGCTATGCTAGAGCGTTTCTAAGAAAGCCTTACTTGTCAGTACAGATATTTTCTTCACTGTAACTCGAAAGCTAAATGGCATCGAACAGATGAGCCAGATCATGTTGAAACTGAGTTTGTTACAACGGAGTGGAACGAACCCTGTTCATCACAAGCCCTCTACGAATTTATATGGTATACGCTTCGTAAAACGCTCTCCTCAGATAATTTAAGGCACAAACACCTCATACACCAGTATGAATCACAGATCTCAATGCTGCAGGACAGCAATTTTCCACCATTCGCCTGCTCACACCAACTCATCCACGATGGGAGACATTAATAGGAGGACCACCAAGCATCTTCAACCGCTCTCCTGCTCAGTTTTTCAATGGAACTGTAACGGATTGAGAACGCGACTCCCTGAGCTCCGCAAACACCTATTGGACAACGCCTACAATGCAGTAGCTCTTCAAGAACCAAGAATGTCAGCCGGCGACATGCGCATTGCGGATCATGTAGTGTGCGCCAGCAAACCACATGTGGCAAGAGGGTTTCCGCGGGCAGCACTATTAGTGCGTCGAGAGTTGCCACAAAGTGAGGTGGACCTCAATGATTTATGCACTGAGAGTGCGGAGTTTGTGGCGGTGACGGTGGAATGGAGAAGACGTCCACTCACCATCGTCTCGGCATACGTGGCCCCTAACGCACCCTGGGACACCCATGTACTTGCGGACATTCGAGTCCGAGCCAAGGGAGACCTTATAGTAGCCGGAGACTTCAGTGCGCACTCGCAGTCTTGGGGAGACAAGCAAGACTCCCCACGGGGACGGGAGCTACAGGCAATGGTCGAAGCACTTGACCTGAGGAACATCACAAGTGGGAGCCAGACATTTATCCGCCCTGGAGGGACGGGAAGCGTGATTGATCTCACCTTCACAACTTGGTTCCTGAGGCTCAGTGCAACCCCTCAGGCGGACAGCTGGGGGAGTGATCACCTTCCAATTGTCATTGGAAGACCGCCGAAAGTCCCCCTTAGGACTTGCCAGGTAGTCGACTGGGACCACTACAGGACACTGCTTGGAGAAGCACTAGAGGGGGGATTTCTCTTCAATTCAGAAACACTGTCGCGCGTCCTCAAAGAAGCCACCCGTGAAGTCAGCGTGCCATTAACACGTCCTAACCCTGACCTCGAATGGCTTAAACTCCGAGCGAGAAGACGGCGAGCCCAACGAAAGTCATGGGTCACCGGAAAACCGGAGGATATCCTGGCCTATAGGCGACTGGATGCCAGATTCAGGAAACACGGAAAGAAACTGGCGCGCCGACAATGGCGTCTCATGTGTAGTACTCTAGACAGGCCATCCGGAGGAAGCCGGGCTTGGAGGATGTCGAGAACACTGGCGTGCCGCCCGATTCCCCGAAACCCAGTCCTTGGAATGGCCGTGGCCATGAACCTCCGACCAACAGACATGGTAGAACTCCTCGCGGATACTTTCACTAAAGTTCCGCTGGTACCGACAGTGGGACCGCCCCCCGAGAATTGGGACAAGTTCCGTCATCCCACGGCACCTCTGATGCAACAACCGGACACCGACTTCACTCTGCACGAGCTGCAGTACGTCCTTGATTCCCTTCCCAGACACCGCGCGTCACCAGGACCGGATGGAGTCACCTACCAGGCCCTGAGAAACGTCAACGAGTCGGCACTCCCAGCGATGCTAGCTCTCATCAACGAAGTCTGGAGGACAGCTGAGCTGCCAGACGCCTGGAGGGTAGCAAAAACGATACCACTGCTGAAGCCCGGCAAGCCCCAAGACCAGCTAGGCTCATACAGGCCTATCTCCTTGACATCATGCCTCGGGAAAGTGATGGAGCGTATGGTGCTACGCCGTCTTGTTTACCACCTGGAAGGGGCAAGGGCTTTACCGGACTGTTTTTCGGGATTCCGGCACCATCGGAGCACAGCAGATGCAATGGGATATATCGTCAGCTCACTGGAAGAGGCAAAAGCGCAGGGTTGGTCTGCGGTGGCCGTCTTTCTGGACGTCCGCAAAGCCTTTGATGCCCTCCCCCACAAGGCCGTCATTTCAGCTCTACGCCGTTTCGGGGTGAACGGACGTCCACTGAAATACATTTGTGCGTTTCTTAGTGAACGCACTATGTGTGTAAAGGCTGGCAACGCGGTGAGCAACCCCCGGAAAATCATCCGAGGAGTTCCCCAAGGGAGCGTTGTTAGCCCGCTACTCTTTGCTCTGGCCATCGCGTCACTCCCAGCGGCGGCAAGGGTTGGAGAAGAGCCGGCGTACCCTATCAGCATGGCCGTCTATGCAGACGACGTGGCACTCTGGTCCACTGCCCCCAGCTACAGAAGGCAACGTATGGTATGCGCTCTCCAGCGAGCCCTGACAAATGCAGTGTATCGTCTCCACCAACTGGGCTTGGCAATATCAGCCGAAAAAACGATTGCGCTGTGCTACTCTCCAAAGAGGCCAAGCAAGTTCATGCCCACACTACGCATTGGGGACACTCCAGTGAAACTGGCGAAAACGGCCACATATCTTGGCGGCACGTTGGACTCGAGGCTATCCTGGGGCCCAGCAATGAGGGAAGTGCTTCAAAAGATGCGAACCCATACAAACATCCTCCGGATACTCGGCGGAACTACTTGGGGAACCTCATCTCGCATGATGCTGCAACTGTATAGGGGGCTCATCCTGGCCCGCCCATTGTACGCCCTACCTTTCGCCACACTCAGTGTCAACCAGCTCAAAAACCTTGAACAAGCTCAACGCGTGGCACTCAGGATTTGCCTCGGAGTTCCCCGCACAGCCTCGTCTCAAAATAAGCTCACAGAATCCAGGATTAACTCTGTAGAGAACATCATGCAAGAACGGGCGCAGGGTCATCTGACTCGAATGAGGAACTGGACTCGACCATCACGCTCCTAATGAGGATCGCCGAGCGGGCTGAATCAAGACTAGGAGCGCACCTCTGCATTCTTGGTGACATAGCTGGCACACCAGGACCACTCGCTCCACTCCCAGAGCTGCACAAAGATCCCCACCCCCTGCGGATCAGCCTTCATATCCCTGAACTGCGGTCCAAGAAGAACGTAGCAGTGGTCGTAGCAAGGCAGCTCACGGAAGATCACTTAGTTACCCAGTACGATGGGTGGACCCGAGTGTACACCGACGGATCAGTGGACCCCACCGGAGGCACAGCAACAGCAGCGGCTTTCTTCGAGGCAGCAGTTGTGGGTACCAGTGACCGCCTGGATCACCAGGCATCCTCCACCACGGCAGAGCTAGCAGCCATACGGCTCGCACTCTGGGGTATTCTGACAGGCTGCACACAGGCCTTACGCTGGGTCATCCTGAGCGACTCAAGATCAGCCCTCGAGCTGCTATCTAGGCTCGAACGGGCAACGCCCCTGGCCCGTTCAATCGCGCAGGATGCAGTCGAGCTTCAGCAAGAAGGCAACGACATTGCCTTCCAATGGCTCCCGAGCCACTGTGGCATTAGAGGCAATGAAGTCGTCGATTTTCTAGCGGTGCGGGCTCACAAGGACCCCGAGTGCCCGCCTTCAACCGTTCCCCGCTTCTCAGACGCCAAACTCCTTGTGAGAAGAGCCATCGCCCTACAGCACCCGGACCCTGCTGTGGTGGCGGGTGCCTTCCCAGCTCGGGTACCGCGCGGCTTCGACCGCCAAACTGCCGCAGTAATACACAGATTACGGACCGGAAGCGCCTTCACCCCGGCGTGGATAAGTCGCTTCAGACTCAATGTTGACCCCATATGCCAGACTTGCGAGGAAACGGCCGACGCCGAACATCTCCTCCTGCACTGTAGTGATCACGAAGAGGAGCGCACCAACCTCCGTGATGCTTTTTCCCGCCTAGGGCTACCTAGTACCAACTTGGAAGAACTCCTGCGTCCAAGAGCCTCACGAGCTACTACGGACAAGGCACTCAAGAGTGTAGTCAGCTTCCTGAGGAGCGCGGAACTCCTCGAGATCCTCTAGGACTTCCAAGAGATCTGGGTTGCTTGCGGCTCCTGGGGCTCTTGGAGATCTTACATCCAGAGGTTTTCGGGAGTTCCTGGAGTCGCGAGTCAACACTCTGAAGAAATCCTCTTCTTCCTTCCCCCTCTCTCCTCCTCTATCTCTTTTTTCCCTTAATTCCCTTTCCCATCGACAGTGACAAGTGCGCCCAGAGCGTAACTAACAACAACGTCGATTTCCTAATAAACATCGATTCAACAACAACAACCCGGGAATGCCTTTTGTGTGTCGCAGAAGTCGCTATTGTCCCCCCACAAGATTACAGAAGATTAACCCGTCACTCAAAATTCGTACAAAAGCAGCAGCTATGGTGGCTGGAACGACTAGGCCATTCTCTCGACGTCAGCCTCGCCGTAGCTTTGCTCGTCTTGAGACGACCTACGTCACGATTGCGTTGGATGTCACGTGGTCTCCGCTGGGCCTTCTCCGAGAGCTTGCCAGAGTGGGCCGTTAATAACGAAAAATACAGCCACCAGGCTCAAAATACAAACGTGCGATTGTCATTAACGGATATTGTGGATCATATTCAACCTATTTTTAAACACGACGGGAATATTTCAAATATTGTTGAAGTATCCCTTTAAAAAAGTTGCGCGCACACCTCGCTTTTGGAGCGAGCTTTTGCTGAAACGTTGCCGAGTCCTGTCAATCACTCTGAGGGCGCCGCCAATGGCCGCTCAGAAACGCTCTCACGTGGCCTTTGAGGGGGGAGCGAGCTTTTTGAGAAAAAATTGGGTTGTGTGTGTGTTTCTACAGCCTAGAACTTGGTCTACCTCACAGGGGCGACGAGTCTCCCAGCTGTAGATGAGAAATTTAGCCAGTGCGGTGCAGCCGCTAGCCTGGGGTCTTTAACGTGCATCACGCAGTAGTGATACACGACCGCACGCCGGTACGATGCTCATCCAGATCGAAACGGGCAGGGGTGGGGCTCGAACCCAGGGTCCCTGGGTTCTGCAGCAGCTTTTTGAGAAGACCACTTCACTGCCCGTGTTGTAGCCGAGCCAAATCCGAAAAAAAACAAAAAAACCGAAACCACGAACGATAGATACTGCCGGCGCTTCCGCAAGCACGTCAAGCACCACTGAAGGAAAAGTGAGTAGCATATCGGCAAAAAATCCAGCGATGGACGAAGACAATTAGGCCTCATTCACACAGCCGGCGTCTCGCCCCGTCCCGGCGAAAGCGCCGTGGGCGCCGTGCCGAAAACGGGACGGTGCGGGGACGGAGGAATGTTCGAACCAGCGGCGGCGGAGCTGCCGGCGATGCTGGCGGTTTTTAGAATGTGGCGGGAAATGGAGAACACGACGCTGAATGGCTAATGGTGATGATGATGATGTTGGCTTTCAACTGAAGCGCCACTTTATGGTCAACACCCACACTATTTTCGCGAGTCTAAACGTCATCGTTGTTGCACATGAAGCGGTACGTGTGAACGAGCACATTTCGCGAAACTTGAGTGTCGCGAAACTGTTGCGCGCCTAAAAAATGCATCGTGTGAACAGACCTTTAGTCTTTCTGCACCTGCGACGACCTCGCTGGAGCTCTGCGTGTGTGGAGCATGAGACGGCACGAACCATCTTGTGCACCGCTGCCTGCCTCCTGCGAACTAAAGTTATGTCGGCATCACGCATGCGCCGAACACTTTATGCGCTCGGTCTATAGGGAGTATTCACTGGCGGCCATAGCTGTGTGCGCGACTGCTGAGCGCGTGCTGACGGCAGGGGCGGATCCAGACCTCCATTTTAGGGGGGGCGGTTCCTTGGTGTAAAACGGAAGGGGGGGGGGGGGGCGGGAGAGTGTTTATATTTTTTTGTGGAGTTATCGTTTTTACTAAACTCTGATAACATAATATAGATCTTGAGAGCTTTTGTATCGGTTTACCTGTCGGGGATGAACTCTTTGAATTAAAACCTTTCGGGTGACCACGCTAGAGGCAAGTATCTAGAAAATTGTGGTCGCACTATCTTTTCCGAACACCATAACGCAAGGAATTTTGTAGTTCATAGGAAACGGGATTGCTCCATTCGCGTGGCAGCGCGCTAGAAATGGAACAAGAAGTTTAACTACTGGGGATGAATGTTTGGTGCTATAGCGGTTGTGACGATTGCAGACAGTGTAACTTGATGGCTCAGATATCCCCGGCGGGGCTACAAGTTTTGGGCTCCTTTTGCTTGAATAATATATTCTCGTTACACCCGTAGAGCAGGTACGGAGAGCCAACCTTTGCTAACTATACGGAGGAAGCTCATGCAGCTAATGACAATGCGAAAAACGTTTTAATCTAAAACTCGGCTGTTCTTTGAGATTAAGCTTGGCATAGTAGTTAGAACTTTATATTCAGTGCCAAAATGCAGAACGTGGTTTTAAAGCATACTTTTCATTGTCGCCGGTTGCTTCAATGGAGCGAGTACGTTGCAAACAAGCGATAAAAATGGCCCGGCGGCTTCGACGCTGCTCGCGGCGTCAAAACACTGTTGACGCAGCGAGCGAAACGAACGCTGCCACGCAAGTTCGTCGGTTGTTCACCGTATATTTGAATGTCTAGAGCGCAGCACATGCGGCATTGCCAATCCAAACTCGTGTTTTCACGTGTTCTGGATGCAACTCGAGAGAACGAAAGCGAATAATTGTTGAATATTTTTAAAAGCATGTTGCAGTTCGGCAACTTTTAAACTTAGACAAGACCTTAAACCAGCAACGGATCTTCCAAATTATATTCAATTGCACTTAGTCTGGATATTTTTTGTATGAAAGGAACACTTACTTGTTTCTGGGTAGTTAGCTCATTCGTCAGGGTCGAGAGGACAGGTGCAGAGATATGATGGGGCAGAGCGGTTGTCCGGTCGGCGAATCTCAACTGGGCTAAAGGCCGATCACGACTGCAGCATGGATGTTTGGGAGTCGGTGTTCACTCGAACGGGCACAGGCACTGTCTATTTAATTTATGGATAGTCGCATCTTTGAAAGGGCCCTAGGTAGGGAATTCGAAGCCGCAGTTGCAAACCAGCAAGCCCTGCCTCTGTTTCGTTTGAGACACACATATTCGCTCCTGCAAAGCCGCGCGAAAGCTCTGCCGTCAATCCACAGAAGCCGCGTTTAACTCGAAAAGTAAACACGGCACCAAGGGGAGACAAGGGGTAGCGGGCGCCTTTCCTAAAATATGTCCCGCCAACCTAAGTTCAAAACGGCATTGTATACAAATAAATGCCTACGGCGTCGGCTTGAGGACCCCGTGTAAGCAGCTTCCAGCCTTTAGAGTGCTTGTACCGTTTATCTTTCTTTTATTAGCTTCCCGCCACGAGAAGTCGTACCGCAGGCAGTATGAAGCCCATTAGAGGAAACATCTCCCCCTTCTGGCGCTCGTCGGCTTCTTTCTGTATTCCGCGCTGCGGCGCTGATCCTCAGTGAGGGGTGGAGGCGAGGACGAAAGCGGGCTTATGTTTAAGCCAAGGTCGTGGGGAAGTCCGGAGCTTCTTCAGGAGAACCTCAGACCCAGACTACACTGTACCCAGAGCATTTGCTTCCTCTCCCAGTTGAGAAGAAAAGCAATTGGTCACCTGGTTGTACAAGCTGCATCCCCCCCCCCCCCCCCCCCTGGAACGTCTCCTCCTGGTACGTCCCCTCCACACTTCCCTTGGCAATGAGCACACCGTGCTAATAAGATACCTTTAGTGAGCCCGTGGGCGACAGCATCTCAAAGCAAGCCAAAAAAGACAAGCCAAAAGACAAGCCCAGAACCACGAAGAAACCATCAAACGAAACGTGATGAAAAGGCGGCCGCTAGAAAGGAAGAATAATCCGCTGTGTATAGGATCGTACCCTTGAGGAAGTCTGCTTGGCGTCTCCGTTTGGGAGCTTTCAGGGCACAAATTTTTCGCAGACAACCTCCAAAGAGAGAGAGAGAGGCAGGCAGAAAGAGAGAAGGGGGACTAGATATGTTTAGGGTAGTTTCCCCCCGTGCTCAACGTGCTGGCCTTGTTTGGAAGAGTGCCTGCAGTTGAGGACCCTGATATTTGGTGCGCCTCCCCACTGTCTCTTCACTTCGAAACTCCTGTTGCCGTCCCTGTCGGGAAGACGTACCGTGACCTTGACGGAGATAAACCCCACTTTGGAAGCGCCCAGCAGGCGCGACCACCTACCGCTGTTTTAATCTTTTGTTCCTCGCGTCGATTGCTTACATTTTTTCTTCCAGCTGACGAAGAACCCCCGGGGGGGGGGGGGGGGCGTTGCCTGGCGAGGCGTTTGGGGGGGGGGGGGCGATCGCCCCCATCGCCCCCCCCCCCCCTTGGATCCGCCACTGGCTGACGGCCAGCTTCCACAGTTCTTTTGCAACGTGCATTCCGCACCATCAAGACTGCCGGTCTTAGCAGCCTATTAATGTAAGCTCGTTGTGAGCATGCGCTCTAAAACATCGCCCTCAAATATGGCGTCCAGTGAATACTTCCTATACACCTTTGCAAGTGGGATCCCGGCTTAACCTCGAACCGCGCGCCAAGGTGAGGTGGACCTACTTTCCAGCCAGGACGTTCGCTGGTTGTCGTACAATGTTGCCAAGCGTCTCTCGCCGAAGCGTATACCACTGAGCGCCGAAGCTTCCCTGGATTGCCACACTGGACAGCCAGCTGCTGAACAGGGGGGTTAAGCTCGGCTCGGAGAGATAAATAATTGGGTTGTGTGCGGTGGCCGAGTGGTCTAGCGCACACCAGCTCGGAGCACGTGGAGCGCAAGCTCGCGCTGCAGAACCCAGGGATCCTGGGTTCGAGCCCCACCCCTGCCCGTTTCGATCTGGATGAGCATCGTACCGGCGTGCGGTCGTGTATCACTACTGCGTGGTGCACGTTAAAGACCCCAGGCTAGCGGTTGTACCGCACTGGCTAAATTTCCCATCTACAGCTGGGGGACTCGTCGCCCCTGTGGGGCAGACCAAGTTCTAGGCTGTATAAACACACACACAACCCAAT